TTGCTCTAAATCCACTAGCGCGGATGATTATAAGAAAACTATTATTCCCACTTTAAAATGAAATTATGTATTACAGACTAAACTTCGAAACCTTAGAAAGAAATTATGAGTCGGTTGCAATGCATGATTTTTTTTACTTGATATTGATAAACACTAGTTTGTCATACTGTAAAGAGTACTCACAGTAGAAGAAATGATTTTGGCTAGCTATCTGATCACACTCACTACACTCCAATCGCAGAATGGCTTTAACTAAAAAACAGTCGGAAGGAAATCATGCAATGAATGAAAAAAAAAAAGAATACTTTCACTCTAAGAAAAATCATAAGGAAATCGTACCATGAATGAGAAAAAAGTGATGTGATGAGGAAAAAATTCTTGATGTAAACACAATTCATTTTGTTGGTGATTACGTGTTTTTTTTAAAAAAAAGTATGCGATTCTTTTTTATTTTTTTCTAAAATAATTCATTTTGTTACTGATTACATGTTTTTTTTAAAAAAGGTATGTGATTTTTTTTCAACAAGAATAATTCATTTTTTTGTGATTACTTGTTTTATGAAAAAAAAGAAAGACATGTGATTGTTTTTTATTTTTTTACATAATAAAATTGCATATTCTTTTCTATCCCTGCTTCGCGTTTCGCGTAAGCACAAACCTTATTTCGTGTTATCAGTCTTAGGCATTCCTACTTCCTCCGTAAAAAAAAAACTAGGTTAACTCAATCTAGGAGGAGACGTGACTCCTCCTACGACAACGAATCTGGACAAAAGAGTAGTTCAGATTTATAGTCCTAGGACTATAAATATACGATTCTTTTTTATTTTTTTACATAATAAAATTGCATCTTCTTTTCTATCCCTGCTTCGCGTTTCGGGTAAACACAAACCTTATTTCGTGTTATCAGTCTTAGGCATTCCTACTTCCTCCGTCCAAAAAAACTAGGTTAACTCAATCTAAGAGAAGACGTGACTCCTCCTACGATAACGAATTTGGACAAAAGAGTAGTTCAGATTTATAGTCCTAGGAAGGGTCACATACATCCCTTATTAGGTTGAGTTTTTTTGGATAGAGGGAGTACCGATACAGTGTTACGCGGTACTGTGCTGGGCCGTTGCTTCTCAACTCTATGGGCTGGCTGTTGGGCCAGCCTGCTGCTGCTTTGTTTGGGCCGCTTGCTAGCTTTCTTTGAAATTTTTTGAGAATTAATATTATTTTTATGGAAAATCGCAAAAGTAGTGGCCAACCGGGGAAAATCGCGAAACTAGGTCCCTATCGAACGGGTGCAATTCGATAGGGCACCTATCGAACGACGGGCAGTCGACAAAGCCCTGTCGAACGGCTGGCGTTCGACACGCTCACCTGTCGAACGGAGGGAGTTCGACAGGGCCCACCACCCGGCGCCGCGAGGCCTGTCGAACCGGGGGCGTTCGACAGGGCCCTCCACCGACCCTGTCGAACAATGGGCGTTCGACAGGCCGGTTTAAAGCCCCGTCCACCCAGGCCGCGAGTTCGATTTGTTTTGAGGACCACATCGCCAGCTGCCGCCGAGAGTCGCCAGATCATCGCCGTGAGCGCCGGATGGAGCGAGGGGAGGGGATAGCAGGCCGGAGAGGAGGCCGAGGAGGCGCCGGCCGGGAGGAAAGGGTTGGCGACGCCCTCCAGCAGTGAAGTTAAGGTATACATTAGTAATCCCTAAGTACAATGCATATGAAAGTTTAATAAAAAATTGGTTTAAGACTTGTTAATTGTTTCGCATTGTTCGATGTTAGTATGTATGGTTAGCACATATTTGTTATTGCTAAATGTTGGTAGAGGTATTTAAGTAATTGTACGGTTAAATTAGTTCTTAGTTAGTACATATTATTGATATGTTGTGTGTTAAAATAGGTACAAAGGTGTTATATTTTATTTGGATTATCAAAACTAGTTGTTTGTTACTAATAGTTGTAAATTAGTACACGGCAATATAGTATAAGTTGTAATAGGGTAATTATCGAATGATTAAATGATTAAACGTCAGACTATTTGTCATGTTTTATTAGGATGTCAGGTGATATGCCCATTCGTCTGTATTATGGCGATGCTCCTATACAAATATGTGATAGCGGGGTAGATTTGACTGTATATGCCTTCCATGATACTAGTCTGAATGCACCGGAGCATATGGGTTTGAACGACGTGTTAGGGTGGTTGTATAATATGTTTGGGGTAGATCCAGTGCACGATAAATTTGTCATAAATACCGTGTGGCCAGTGAGGGGTCAACATGGATGGCAGTGGAGAGTAGTGGAGGTTGCGTCAACTGGGAGTTGGAGGAAGTTTGTTAGTAAAGTAAGGGAGAAAGGCTATAGCCTGGCAATAGTGGTGCAGAAGACAACATGTGTCGATCGATCGGGGGAGTCAAGTCATGTCGTGGTGGAAGAAACTCCGTTGGAAGGTGGACAAGCTGAAAATGTTTGGCGGACTGAGCAAGATCGAGGGGAAGAAGTAGTAGAGGGTAATACACAAGGAAAGGTCATTGTTCGTGGTACTAATCGTGAGGCCAACGACTCGGACGATGAAGAACCGGATTCGCCTATGCGTGTTGATGCAGCGGAGGAGAATGAGGCGGTAGTGGATCAGATGGAAGTGGAAAACGAGGAATACCTTGCGCTTGTAGTGGAAGGAGAAGATACAACACTGTGGGACAACGAAACTAACATACCCGATGATTGGACGACCATATCAATGAGTCGTATGAAGGTAAACGATGGTTTAGATGCCCATTGGTGTTATGATAGTAAGCAGGTGAAAGTTGGACAGATGTTTCATGACAAAGGTCACTTACATGATGCGGTGAAGAGGTGGGCATTTGTCCAGAAGCGTGAGTTCAGGGTGAAGGTTTCAAATAGGACGACGTATGACGTGAAGTGCATACAGGGTGGATGTCCTTGGAGAGTGCATGGTTACAAGCCACAACATGACACTTTATGGGTAGCTTCGAGGGTTGAGCAACATACGTGTTTGTTGGAGAATACCCGTCTGGTGCACAGAAACCTGACAGCGGCATTTGTGGCACAAATGGTATATTCAAAGGTGGTTAGAAAAACATCTTTGTCCCCTTTCACCATAATGCATGACGTTGAGAAAGAGTACGTATATGAGATATCGTACGACAAGGCTTGGAGGGCAAAACAGAAAGCATTGGAGATGAGGTTTGGAACTTATGAGGATTCTTATCACAATCTTCCCCCACTATTGGAGGTGATGCAGGCAAGAAACCCGGGCACACACATGGCTATTCTCGATGAGGTGAATGAATATGGGGAGAATGTTCTTCGTCGGGTTTTCTGGTCATTTGGGTGCATGATAGAGGCCTTTAGAAATTGCATTCCTTTGCTCTGTGTTGATGGCACTTTCATGACAGGCAAGTACAGAGGAACAATTCTAACCGCGATCGGAGTCGACGCGGATAGCCATGTCGTTCCTGTTGCTTTTGCATTTGTTGAAAGCGAGAACACATCAAGCTGGCTATGGTTTTTGCGGCACATTAAAATGTGTGTTGTTGAAAACAGACCAAATGTGTTTGCTATCAGCGATACAGAAGCTTCAAGAAGATGTCACACAGTCCGTGCCATGGCCAGATTTACATAGCAGATGGTGCATGCGACATTTTGGGGCTAATTTTTATAGACAATTCAGGAGTAAAAGATTGATGGACCTGTTCAAGAAGTTATGCAAGCAGAATCAACAAAGAAAGTTTGATGCCATATGGGATCAACTGGATCGTTTGACCACTACACACATGGAAGAGGTTAGGAAAAAACCTATAGTTGCCAGACAGGAGGAGCCGGAGGGACTTGAACCCATTCCTAATGAAGCACCAAGTATTACTCGGCGCAGGAAGCGTGGAAGGGCCACGAAGTGCTTCACGGAGTGGGTAGAATTTGAGCCAAGGGAGAAATGGTCGTTGTTGTACGATACAGACGGATCGAGGTATGGTGTGATGACAACAAATCTTGCTGAAGTGTATAACTGGGTTATGAAGAATACACGACCTCTACCACTTGTTGCTATCCTGGAGGGCATCACGAGGGGTACACAGAAGTATCTCTATAAAAGGTATTCCATGGCTAGTCTGAACCTCAGCAAACCTAGTGTTAAGTATAGCCCCGCTATTACACAGTACATGGATGAGAAAAGTAAGAAGGGAGGAATCCACAGAGTGTGGCCTGCTGGGAATAGAGAGTTGTTATTTGAGATACGACTTCGTGACAAGAGTGGTGTCGGCATTGGGACTACTGACGTCACATTGGAATGCACGTTGTGGCCAGAGTATCACGCTTGCAAATGCAATTGCAACAAGCCTTACCTGTTACATCGGCCATGTTCCCATGTTCTTGCTGCTTCCGCAAAAGGGGGTGTTGATGGAAACATTTTTGTTTCTCCCTACTTTAGAAAGGAATCGTGGGAGGCAACTTGGCGTGCCATGTGCGATTTCACTCGTCCTCCTCCAGGGCAAGCCAATTGGGTTCCTGACTCAAATTTATTAGTTGATACTAAGGGTCGTCGCCAGTCGCGCAGGATCAAGAACCTTATGGATGAAGCTGAAGTGAAAGATCGTTCTCGTCGTAAGAAAGCTTGCATTCTTTGCGGGGAGAACCATTCCCGTAAAGATTGCAGCATGTACAATGTAGGGCAAGATGCCACAGGCGCTGATGTTCGTCGCGTTTCAAAGGGGAAGTCGAAGAAGAAAAATAATCCTTAGTTCGCTATTATCCTTGGTGGACTCCCTACTTTGAAGATCGTTATCGTTCAATTTATGTTTAGTGCGTCTGTAATTTTAATTTGAACTTTCTTGCACTTTTATTACCCGAATCTATTTGTAATAGCCTTGTAATTTTCATTTTGAACTGCACTGCACTTTTAATATCGTCATGTATTTGTATTGGAATTGTAATTTAAATTTCGAACTGCACTGCACTTGTAATATCATAATATATGTGTCCTGGGCTTGTAATTTTAAATTGAAATGTACTGAACTGTTCTTATCTGTATCTATGTGTGCTGGTACTGTAATTTTAAATTGAAATGGCATGCAAATTTGTTACTTGAATTATGTTGCATACATTTACTGTACTGTTACCATACGTGCATTGTACTAATGTGGTTTTCGATCTGCAGGTATGGCTGATCAATATGATGGGCAGCTGATAGACAAGGAGATCGATAGGAACCATCGATCGCGACGTCTTAGTACAGGAACTTTCTGCAATGTGCTAAAGATGCGAGGACCGGATCAATATTGGCGTATTGATCCTCGTTGGGTTCCAAGGTATGTGAAAATATATTGTTTTTACTAATACAAGGTGTTTATATTTTCATGTATTAATAACTTGCGCTCTGTCATGTTGTAGGCTGAGAGCAGCTGGGTTGTTGACGTTTGCACGGTTGGTCGAGCCTTCACGTGCAAGGTCCGAACGAATCCACATTGACGCGGCGCTTCTGAGTGCTCTTGTGGATAGATGGAGGCCTGAGACCCACACTTTCCACCTCACAGTTGGAGAGATGGTGCCCACTCTGCAGGATGTGTCTTATTTGTTGGGGCTGCCGATAGCTGGGCCAGTAGTTGGCCCAACAATGGTGAATGCTGGATGGGCGGATGACCTTCTGGCCAGTTTTGGTGGTGTGCTGCCTGTTGCACTGGAGGATCTCACAGATGGGCATGGGCCTACGAAAAGTTGGTTGAATCAGTTTCGACAGGATGTCTTCCCTGATGACCAGGAGGAGTGGATCGTGCAGCGGCACTTAGTCGCTTACCTGTTGTGGTTGTTTGGATGGGTGATGTTCACGGGAACTCACGCTGACTCCGTGGACAAGCACTTCATCCACTTTGCGGAGCAGATTGCAGAGTTACCTATCGCGGAGATTCCACAGTACAGTTGGGGGTCGGCAGTACTTGCGGCGACATATGCCGGACTGTGTGATGCTTGCGTGAGGAACAGCAAGCAAAGTTCACTCCCTGGATGCCCGTTGCTACTTATGTTGTGGGCGCACGAGCGCTTCGACATTGGGAGGCCTCAGCTTGACTCGTACGCAAACTACGGTTTGCGAGAGATGTACAGGTCTGGTGTTGATGACATCAACGATCGTCCCACTATGGAATCCTTGTGGACACACCGTGAGGTATTTTTTGTTAAATTCGTTTATGTTATCATTATGAATACTAGTTCACAAACTTTCCTTATATGAGTAATGAAAACTACTACTTGTTACAGCCGCAGTGGGTTAGCGGGACGACACGTCGTGTCTACACTCAGTTTGTAGCTGACTTTGATCAGCTTACGCCTGACCGTGTTCGGTGGACTCCCTACACTCAGCACGATGTCAATGATCGTGCACCGCACGGTCTCGCGGATCTTTGCACGCGAGATATGCAACTCTGGATGACGACTTGTTACCTCGTGGTGGACGTGCACGTCGAGCCACACAATGTCCACAGGGTTCTCAAACAGTTGGGCATGTATCAGGACTTCCCTCCGAGAGATGGTCGTCCTTTGGCTGATAGTCTTCATAGGTTAGTTCACATCACAGTTGTCTAATCCTACATTTTTTAAAATAAATCACTGCACAACATTTTTTCTGATGTGTGAATTTGTTGTTGTGCAGGTACTCCAGAAAGGGGCTCGGGCTTTCCTACGAGCTAGTTATTGTGACCACGGTTCAGCCGACGGTACAAGAGTGGGAGCACGCAGCTGATAACTTGGCACTTCAGACACCTCCAGACGATGGGAGTTATTATGGAGCTTACCTTCGTTGGTACCGCAGTGTTACACGATGGAGGTGTTTTCCTCCACAAGGAGATAGCACCGTCCCCCACCAGGCAGCGATTACTGACACGTTTGCCCCTCAGCCTAGATCAGCTTACAACTCAATGGTACGTGTTTATTTGTGGAATTTGAGCAACTAGTTCAATATTTTTAAAAAGTTAGCAAGTAGTTCAGTATGTCTAATAAATGTGCAATTGGTTCAACTAGTTCCTTTTCTTACATAAATGTGGAACTAGTTCAGCATTTATAAATGATGTGCAACTGGTTCATTATTTCTAACAAATGTGCATCTTGTTAAATACTCTTAATAAATGTGCAACTGGTTAAATAATTTTAATTACCTTGATTATTTGTGGAACAGGCGGAATTTGTTGAGCACGTTCACGTGGAGTCCGACACCATGCTGCAAAGACTAGAGGCGAGACCTCCGGTCGTCAGGCCTGACGACGTGGCGAGCATCCTTCGCAACTTCCGTGCACGTGCTGCCGCACTACTACGTCGTGTCTCCTGTCGGAGCGCAGCAGATGTGGTGCAGACGTCGGGCCGACGGCCATCACCACCACTACCCCGACGTTCCAGCGTGGATCGGAGTGGTCCATCCTCTTCACGTCGCGGGTACGAAGCGGCCCACACATCTCACGGTCGTCCTTCCTTTCAGCACACCCCAGCACCGGAGTACATTAGGGGGTCAGCCGGATCAGGGGTACCCACGTCGAGCACGGCACCACCACGTCCACAGGTATTCCAAACTCCGCCTTATGTTCACCCCTCGCAGGGAGCATCTGGGTCGGCACACTTCCCTTACATGCCAACGGGGGACAACGTGTTGAACACACCAGCATGGGGACTTCATATCACTCCGCGTGCGCCAGAGCAGGGCCACACACAGCACACATGTAAGTCATTTTAAACAATAACACGCTTTAGTTTCTAATTATATGTATCGTTACTAACTACGCCATATTTTTTGGTTTCTCCCTCTTGTGCAAACAGACGATGAGTACGGTTCGGCGTCGACGCATCACGGAATGCCTGCTTACTCCCCTCGCACAGCATTCATTGAGGACTTCTTTTCCACTGATCCTCCCCAGGGGGAAGTAGGGATGGATTACTGGCACGCAGCACCTCAGGTCACACAGCCGACGCAGGAGACGGAGGTCGGTCAGGGGCCAGACGTGACACCACAGCAGGCAGCTAGAGATAGGCACCCCCCCTGATAATTTGACATATCCCACTGAGCAGATTAGGCGTAGGAAGAAGGGAGGACCTAGCAAGCGTGCGAAGGGCACTAATCGTCCTTGACTTATCTATTTGTATTAAACTTTTAGTCATTTCTATTCTGTCCGTACTATTTGAGAAACACTTTACGATTAACTTAGTACTATCAGTACTATTTCATAAACTTCTTCGGATAATTACTCAGTAGCATACCCTTCGAATGAATCATGACAAATTATCATTCAAATATACAAATAATGAAACTAAATAATTCAAATATTTTAACCAACAAATAAATACTACAATTTCTGACCAAACATTATCAAAACCCTAAATCATATACATATAACATTACAAAAATATTTTCCTTTCTTACACACTAAAATAAATTACATATTATTAAAAAAATAACTTATTACAAATAAATGGAGAACGCGACCCTGTCGAACGCGCCAGTTCGACGGATATCCTGTCGAACAGGGGCAGTTCGACAGCCCCCTGTCGAACAGGGGCAGTTCGACAGCCCTGCCTGGGGCTGTTCGACAGGTCCTATCGAACGGCAGCCTTCCGATCTCCTCACCAGTCGCGCTCTGGCCGTTCGATAGGCGCCCTATCGAACTGCACCCGTTCGACAGGGACCTACTTTCGCGATTTTCCCCGGTTGACCACTACTTTTGCGATTTTCCATAAAAATAATATTAATTCTCAAAAAAATTCGCTTTCTTTTGTTTTCTTCTCTTTTATTTGCGGGGCATTAGAGATCGCGGTCACGCTTCCGCTTCGCGGATCAGCTGCATAATATCGAGTGGACCGATGCTTTAATAACGGATGAAAAAATTAACCGAAGTCTTACTTAATTTTTACCGATGCTTTAATAACGGATGAAAAAAGTCTTACTTAATTTTTAGTTAGATATAGAAAAAAAAGTGCCATGCGTTGCAACGAAAAATAAAGAAATATTTATTCACATCTGTGGCTTAGAAATCAACACATTAATTGAAACAAAAATATACACCGTTGATCATAGTGGATCTAAAAAAATTTTATGAATGTTTAGATATAATGATGTAGATTTATCAAATATAAGCTATATTTTTATAATTAGATTTAATCCAAATCATGATCTTATACCGGCCAGCAAACCGAACTATTTTCTTTCTGCCATACAGCTGGGCCCCGGAAACATGAACGCAAAATAAATGAAAGATCATTTCAGCAATTATTTAATTAGAAAAATGAATCAAAATCCGCGCTTTCAGGTTTGGGCCAAATATGAAAAAATCCAGATTCCCTCCTTTTGTTTTGTCTCTTCTCTGTTTCTGGCATGTTTCCTTTCTTCGGTAAATCTTGCTTGCGTCCTCCTCAATTGGGTCTAGTAAAATAAGTCCTAACAGAAGTCTAATTTATGTCCCTATTGCTACAGTAGTTTCTTCAAGTTCCAGTCGAGCCCGGCCTACGGGGGCTCCTGGTTAGAACAGACGCGCTAGATAATTTTGTAGCGCGCACTTCCATAACTTCCTCCTGTTTCATCGTTTTGTATATTTTTCCTGTTCCGCACCGCGTCCGGGGAGGTTAAGCGCGTGGGTCCACTACGGCCACGCGTCATTAGCGCTAATAACAGCGCTAGCCATATGGATTAATCTAGTTATAGTTTTTATTATCAAAATAATACATAAATAGTTAAGTTGAAAGTTTCGAAAATATGATGAAAAATTTCAAAATCTGAGTTGAAAGTTTCAAAAAAAAATCTTGAGAGTTTCAATTTCGAGTTGACAGTTTTTAAATTTGAGTTGGAAGCTTTCAAACTCGAGTTGGAAGTTTTCAAACTTAGGTTGAAAGTTTTCAAATTTGGGTTGAAAGTTTTTAAATTTGACTTGAAACTTTTCAAATTTTGAGTCGAAAGTCTTCAAATTCGGGTCGAAAGTTTTCAAAACTCGAGATGAAAGTTTTCAAAATTGATTTAAAAGTTTAAATTTTGAGTTGAAAGTTTTTAAATTTTAAATTGAAAGTTTAAATTTTGAGTTGTGACTTTTAATTTTTCATCTATAGAAAGTTTCAAATTTCACGTATAGATTTTTAAATCTTTAGTTAAAAAAATAGGACCTCATGAAAAAAAGGAAAGATTAATTAAAGAAACATAATTATCGGAAACTAATTCCGTCAACTAATCTAATCTTGATTATTTTCTCCGAATCTGGCGCACTTGCGCACGCTTCCCAGCGATCCCTCGCGCAAAAAAACAGAAACAAAAGTGGACCGGAAGAGAAATCACGTACGAGGACATGGGCCTAAAACGCGCGCTAGATGGCTAGTTAGCGCGTCTGCGCTAATTAGGAAATTCGCCGGCCTACACCTGACGCCACCCTAATCCCGCGTCCGATTCAACCAAACCCGTGGAGTTAATCTCAAATTAGTCGAGGGCTTTTGATCTATCTTTTCTCTCAGGAAATTGAAGTCAATCCCATGAAAATTGCTTCCGTATCGAGCTCAGACTCGAGTTTATCTCTCCAGTGAACCCTAGTTTTTATCTCTCCGGCGAAGTCAAGTCTGATTCAACCAAATTAGCACGTTGACGGACAAAAATGCAGAAAAAAAAGTGACGAACGGAAGGTTACAGATTTTTCTTTTCTAATTAGTTAAGATAAAATATGATATAGATAGTCCGGCGACGACTACCTCCTCTTCTGATATTCTCACATACACCCGTCGCCGCCATGCACACACACTCTCGAGCTGCGTGTACATTTATAGTTGTACGTATAAGTGTACTGATACACGTATAATATACGCAGTGACGTGATGGAGGAGTTCCACAAGGAGATCCGACGGTGCCGACGAGCTGCTGGAGTTGTTCCTCAGGGCGGGCACTGGGTCTCACCGGAGTCGAGGTGGAAGAAGATGACGGCGACGATGCACTGGTACCCGAGGTGCCCGGACCTGCGGCGAGCGCTGGGACTCAGTGCACACAGCGACTCCGGCTTCTGCTCTAGAGCATCGTGCCAGGGCTGCAGCTGTTCCGGCGGGGACCAGACCGGTGGGTGGCAGTGCCGGCGGTCGTTCCTGGCGCCTTCGTCCTCAACGTCGGCGACCTCATCCATATGCATGCTCACCAACGGCCGCTTCCACAGCGTCTACCACCGCGCCGTTGTCAACCGCAACCGCGATAGGATATCGCTCGGATACTTCCTCGGCCTACCAGCCGAACGTCAAGGTTGCCGGAGGCCGTGTGCCGCCCGGCTGGAGCGCCGCCTACCGCGCCGTCACGTGGCCGGAGTACAAGGCCGTCCGCAAGAAGGCCTTCACCACAGGCGGCTCCACCCTCGAGATGGTCTCCACCCCCACCGCCACTGACGAACACAACGACGTAACCGACGTCGTCCGGGATGTCATATAATATTTACCCCTAATCTGTCTTACTACTTTACTATTGTACCCTCAAGAATAAATGGTTCAGATTAGTTCTACTGGTAGTATAATACTTTCGGTAGAAAGCACAATACTTGCGTCTTGCTCTGTGTTTTTTCTTCCGTGCACGGTGATTATGGCAGAGGCCTCCAGCTGTTCATAAACGCATGACGTTTTGACCTCTTCACAGTTCACGTGCTGACAAAACTAGGATAAAATTAAAGCAGCTCTGATCACAGCTCGTCTCAAAGCAGAAAGAAATAGAAAAGAGATGTTGTTATTGTTCAGGTGAACAAGATAGGTTAGAGATAATCCTGCTCACACATATGCTCTTCCAAAGATATTCCGGTCCCTGCTGACGAAAAAACTAATCAGCAAAAAGTCATCAAAAGTGTTGCATAATCTTCATAATACTACTTAGGCTTGATTTAAAACATCATTGAACGGATTGTTGATGCGGGTTATCTACTTTATTATATTGATAAATTAAATATTATGAGAAATAAAGTTAACATGTATCTTAAGTAGGTAAGCAGTACGGGTAGAGGATTTTTACATAAAATTTATTCTTCAGGCAAGTATCCTGTTTGAACGATTTGGTAAATAATTTGGAAAAGTAAACCTAAAAATACAGTGGGACGACGTCACACTAAAATACAGTACTATATCTGATGATTGGTGTTCAAATTTTCATGGGCCATGTGTTACAATTTCAAATACAAGTTACACAGCTCAAATTAGTTTTGAAATGTAATTAAACTACAGCTTGTGGTGGTAATTTATCACCATCGTCGTTATTCGAGCTATCACAAACGATTCTGTCCTTATTGCTTGGCCAATGTCCTTGTTAGTTGTTACGGAGCTGGCCGCCATCATGGGCGTGGCTCCCGGCTCTTTGCCGATCGTGCACTGTGGGCTTGTGGCTAGGCGTGGCTCATAGGGCCAGAGGCCAGTCTGGCAGGGCAGGGGCCAGGATGGGAACAGAGTTGGATGGGCTCAGCCTGCACCGAACTGTTGGCATGTTACCAATGGTAGGAATAAGTTCACTTTAGATGCCTCAATATGTTACCGAGTCTAAAATTCTTCCCTGACTACAATACCACGTATAGCTTGTCCCGAACTCGCAAAACCGTTTCAACTTTCGTCCTAAGGCAGTATGGCTCCCAGTTTCATCCAACGTGGCATTTTCACTCCGGTCAGCTATGTTGAATCAGCATAGTAGCTACACGGGGCCCTACATGTTAGCAGCCAACTCCTCTCCTTCTCCCCTTCTCTCTCCATCTGCCCTCTCAACAGTGGCGCTATGTCGCGACCGGGAAAATTGCCTTTTCCCGAACGCTAGTGTATTAATCCCCGTCCCAGGAAAAGCCGGGGTACACCATACAAACATGATATAAAAGGCACATCTTTATTATATCGATAATATTTACATTATTACAAAGGCACTTAAGGCCTGACAATCAAAAATAAACAGCAGCGGACTAGCGGCCTACGGCTCCATCTTCACAGGCGCTCAACTGGGGTATAAGCCAGGACTTCACCTAAGACATCTTCTCCAAAGCTTCTCTTACTGAAGGGGGAAAAGATAGAGCAAGAATGAGTACAACCACAGTACTCAGCAAGCCACACCGGCAGATGCATGATTAATGCAAGGGAGGTACAAGGGAATAATAATATAGGGATTAAGTTTTGCGGTAAACAGCATTTAAAAGTCACTTAGTTGCCCAAAGCCATTTTGTAAAGACGATCCTAGAGCTACACAGTATTATTAAACAAGGCCGTGAACCCTCACGAACCTGCCTTAACCCAAGGCCTACGATGATTCGGACCGAACTGGCAACCCGACCTGGGTCCCAGCTCGTCCCAAGCCAACCCAGGCCAACCATTCCATATTTTAGTTGTTGAGCAAGTTTTAAGAATTAAAACACTGACTTGGGTACATTGCTCGGCTTGCCCATATCCGAGGGCTCGGCTATTCGAATAGATTTACTCTGATCAGAGGTGTACATCTTTACCCACAAGACACATCTTTACTCCGCATTCCATGGCCTTGGAACCCGTCGTAAAGATGTGACATAGTTTCCAACCCATCCTAGCCTTAGACAAGAGTACCGACCCAATCCTACCTACGGCCGGGATACCCGGGACAGGCAGGCAGAACTGAGCCCCTAGCATTGGGCACCAACCCTCCGCCGTATGACATCTCGACTACCGGGCCGCAGCTCGTGTAGCCTTCATTTGTCCTGGAGAATGTCCATCGACCCCCGACTTCATCCATCTCCAATCCGTGTACTTTTGTTTATGACTAGACTGAGCCACAAACTAAGCCTTACCCATTAGACATGTGGAAGTACGGTAGTGCTTTGCAACAGAGGCCCGAGCTTTAGTCCTTATAGTGGCCGGGGTGCTACTTCCCACAACTGGCATGCACCCAAACCCCACCGAAAACAGGTTTTAGGGGTTTTGAAAGAGGAAGAGAGGTGTGTGTCCAATTCCACCATAATTCAACAATTCCATAGTGTCCAAATGATATGAGAACTCCCAAAGTCTAAAGTTATAAAACCACCTAATGTTGCCTAATTATTCAGCGAAGCATCTACCTAAATTTATACTAGTGGAACCATGAATAGAGTACCCACTAGTTGAGGTTTTGTTTAATCTAGGGTGAACAAGGTAATAATAATAACAATAGCAATAATAATGTCATAACAAAGGTAAATAGGCTTGGCTAAATAAAACAGTGATAACGCGGGAATTTAAATAAAGCGATAATGCATTAATTTAAATCAAAATAATTTTATAAACTGGGATTCAATATGCTCAAGGATGATGTGACTTGCCTTGCTCAGAGAGAACGGCCTTCCGAACCTTCGGCGACGACCACGAACCACGCTTCGGGAACCTCCGGAACGACGAAAGCTACGCGAAGCACACAAGCAAAGCTACAAGCCTATAAAGAAGCAATAACAATACATAAAAAGAAAGCACAGGGTTCTTTAGGTTATAGCAAACATTAGGAGACTTTGAACGGGTCGATTCAGAGTTCGTATGACCAAGATATGATCATCCGAAGTTTAATGCTGTTATATGGAGATTTGCGGATTATTATAATTAAGCTTTGCAACTATAAAACAGGTGTAAGCGCTAGCCTGGAAAAGACAGGAAGGCTGCGCCGTTGACATGCGGACCCCACATGTCAACCTAAAGGACCACGGTAGACCGGGTACACAGAGACGGTCCACGGGTCGACGGAAGCGGACCCCGTGTGTCAACCGAGGCGAGTGGCCGACAAACGGACTCCACTAGACACCACACGGGTTGCACACGTGGAAACCACGCGGCTACCGAGCGGGCACACTAACACGGACACTACACGGTCACCACCCGCACACGTGAACGACTACCGACACCGGTACACGGGTACCGGGGTCGACGACCGCACAACGGGTACGGGGCGACACCGAAAGGACGAGGGCGGGGAAGCGAGAGGACGGATCCTTACCACCACGCGACGAGGCGCGGGAACGACAACGACGAACGGGCGCGGCGGAGACAGACGGGCACAACGGAGACGAACGGCGAGGGGACGGCTTCGGCGGCGATCCTTGGACGAAGGCGAGACGCGGCCGGCACGAGGCTTGACGACGCGGAGGCGAGGACGAAGACGATGACGGGGGCTGCAGCGACCTTGACGAAGCGAGGACGACGAACGGGAACGGCTTGACGGAGGGGCGAACGCCACGACGACCGGGAACGACGAGAGGACGACGACGACGACGACGACCGGGACCGGCGAGGGGGCGACGAGGGCAGCCGGCAGTGGCTGCACAGAGACGGGGACGACGCGGAACACGCCGCAGCGATGACGATGACGGAGGCGGCGCCGCGAGACGACGAGCCGAGCGAGGATGAACGGGACGTCGACGACGAGAACGATCGGAGACGACGATGATGGACCGCGGAGGGGTTTGGATGGAGGGGAAACGATGCCGAGGACGACCTTGCCGCTGCGATGCCGAAGATGGTGGTGGAGGTGGCCGACCGATGCACGGCGAGGAGGGACGGGCGGCCGAACAACTCCGGTGAGGCGGACGGAGAGGTTCGCGGCGACGTTCCGGCGAAACCGAGGGCAGGCCGGGGTGGAGGGCGATGCGGCGACGCCGAGGGAGGAGACGGCGACGTCGGCCGACGCTCTGGCGCGGCGACCGGGGCAGCCGGAGGAGATGCCGCCGAGGAGGAAGGAGAAACCGGCGCGGGCGACGGTGTTCCGGCGAAGTTCGGGCGAGGCGGAGGTGATGCCGGGGATGAGAGCGGCGTCGTGGAGCCGAGGAAGGTGGTGGCGACGTCGGCCGGCGCTCCGGGGACGTGGCAGAGGCGGCCGGAGGCGGAGAAGTGGTGGCGACGCCACTGGACGCCGGCGAGGGCGCGTCTCCGGTGATTTCCCCGCGAAACGGAGGGCTGACCGAGGGAGAGGGGGCAGCTGCGAGGCCGAGGGAGAAGACGGCGCGGCCGGGCGGCGTTCGGGCGAGGAGAGGAAGGCGGCTGGAGGTGGCCGGCGCGAGGGAAAGGGGAGGGCGACGGCGGGAACGTAGTTCCGGGGGTCTCCTCGCGAAACGGAGGGCAGGCCGGCGTGGAGGAGGTGGCGGCGATGCTGTAGGAGGCGACGACGCGACCGGACGGCGCTCGGGCGAGGCGGGAGAGGCGGCTGGAGGCGGCCGGCGGCACGGGAGAGAGAGGAGGACGGCGGGGAGAGGTGCTGCGGCCGTGGGGGAGCTCGGGAAGGGGCTAAAACGAGAGAACGCACGGAGGGGGTTGCATTTTATATGATGGGGGAGGGAGCCGGCCACGGGAGGAGCGGGAACGGCGGCGGGAACCACGGCCGGCGGCAATGGTTGGTGGCCGGACTTGGCGCGTCCGTTCCCGAGGATTGAAAGCACCATTCAAGGGGAAAAACGGGGGAAATCGAAGAGGAATCAATGGGGATTAATT